GGCGCCGCTTCCTCCTCGCCCTCCTTCTCCGGAGAGTTCCTCTGTGCAGCGCTGGCGCTCGCGGGGAGGCGCGGAGGGTAAGGGAGGGGACGGGCGGAGGGGAGCGAGGCAGGCGGGGAGGGCTGGAGAGGTTGGGTGCGCTTGTGCGTTTCACTTTCCCATTGTGAAAGTGGGATGCAACTGGCCCCCTTCCTCATCCTCTTCCTCCTCCGCCCTCCGCCTCCTGCCCGCCCGCCCTCCCTCCACGCCCATCTCCCCTCCCCTCTTGATTCGGTGAGATAGGGAGGAGGAAGGTCTCGTAATTTGGGTTACTGTGTAGGTGGCCTCTTTCATCTATTCATAACAAAGCTGAGCAGCCTGCTGTTGCCGCCGCGGCCGCCACCATCGCCCCTTGGCTCTCCCGGGGCTCCCGGGGCGCGCTAGCAGTACGCCGAGCGGGCTCCCGCGCCCGCCCGTCCGCCCGCGGGGCTGCTCCAACGCTCGGGTTTTGTTTACGAGAGCAGCCTGGGGATACGCAATGCACGGGGAGCCAGAACCCAGGGCGCCGAGGGTTTGCAGCTGAGGCCCAGGGCTCAGGCCACAGGGAGGCTGCGGGGAGGCTGACAGGTGTGGAGCGGCGGGAGGGAGGCCCAGGGGAGGCGCGCGGGAGACGTGGACGAGCCGGGGAGGCTCAGGGGACCAAGGCGTCCCTGCCACAGCGGTTGGGTTTCCCCTGGTCACAGGAGTGAGGTGAGGAAAAGGCAGGCGCCAAGACTCCGCTTCTGGACAATCCCCGGGGCCAGAGCTCCCATATTTGAAAAGGTTCTCTCATCTCCCTTGGCAACGGAGTCCCAGGCTCTCAGACCTAGTGCTTAGAAAGTTCTACTCACCATCTAACCGTAATGATCCTTGCTAACGTTTATTGAGCACTTACTGTGTGCCGGGTGCTGTTCCAAATTTACCACATGGACTAAGACTCATTTAATACCCTAATAACCCTTTTAATTAGTGACTGTTATTATCACTCCCGTTTAGCAGTGAGAATGATCATGGAGAGGTTATGGAATTCCGCCGGGGTCCTAATGCTGGTTTGACAGTGGAGGTGAGATTCGAATCCCTATCTAGCTCCAGGGCCCTTCCTTTACCATCCCGCCCTAGCCGAGCGCCACCTGTGGCCCATTCGATACCGCTGCGAGATCATCCTCCGCAGGTGAGAACTGAAAAGGTCCCCAAGTTAAGTGCTCCAACCTGCCCTGCCCAGCCCAGCCTTCTAATCTTAGAGCCAGGTACCCTATTTCCCTAGAGGCTCTCCCTGTGTCTCATCCTTTCCCACTTCTTTTCTTTGGACCCTCCGAGGTCTCCCCACCTCACCCAGGGGTGCCTCCAAAGCCAGCAAGAATTTGTGAAGCATGGCGAATGTCTGAATCATTGCACACCTGGGTGTCCGTTCATGATTTCGCAGGAGGGGCTTCCTAGAGGAGGCACGAGTGCCTCCCAGCTTCCTGAGGCGGCCGATGGCATCACCAGCAGCACACTTAGAGTCTGGCAGATGATCCAGATGGTGTACCTGAGGACCCTTATGCATCCTTGCAAACAGATCTCTGTCCCCTCCCTGATTATTTCCAGACCAGAGGGCCCAGGGAGAGTAACTGGTTACATCCCCTCTCTTCCTTCCATTCCTGGTTCCCCAACTCTAGATGGAACCTGTCTCAGGGGGGACGGGGTAAGTGGGCTTCCTCCAGATGCTGAGCCTTCTTGAAGGAACAGCCGTTGCAGGTTTTCAACGTCTACAGTAGTGCATCGCGTCCCCGCCCCGTGCTGAGGGATGAGGCAGGAGAAGGATCTCTGAGAGGCTGGAGGAGCTGAGGGTGAGGTGAGGTGAGGTAAGAAGCAGAAGAGAAAGAAAAGTTTCTGCCCTTGACGTGCAGTGAAAGGATCGGATCACTCCAGCGGCGGCTCTCCTATTCTGGATTCAGAGTGGTCACCGATCCCTTCGTAATTTCCTCATTTGAAACTGGATAACATTGTCTTTGCCTACCCGCGGGGCAGGAAATAATCTTGTGAGCTGTAAGGTGGCTCTTTCCACTGCAGTGGTGGTGGCTGGGAGACCGGTAGGAGTGGAGGAGGGAGGGGAAAGAGCCGGGACACCAGGCCGATGTTCACCAGGAGATGAGCCGTTAGGCAAATCAGATGCCATCTCTGTTCCAGAATCATCAGGCCTCACTCCCCCAATCCCTGCCCACCAGAAATATTTTAAGAACTTCTGCACGGCTGGAAATGGGGAAAGCGGTACGTGAGAGACATCTGCAGGAACTCACAGAAGCCGTCACCGCATAGTAGGGCATTTACGTGCTGGCAGTTTGACAATTTTCCCTGTGACCGATGAAGAAGGCGATGATCTCCATCGCTGTCGTGAACCGGCTGTGGCAGTGTTGTTATGTGCTGAGAAGCAACAGTTCAATTCCATTCCGGAGATAGTTTTACTTCACTAGTAACCAAGCAATTTCTCTAAGTCCCGCCGAGTTGGTACAATCAGTGGCCGACCATCTTGGGAGCTATTTGGATTAAGCATACTCTATGGTGCAGCATTTTGATCACTACTCAATTCATTGCTGCCTCGTTTTGAGAAAGAGACATCTTAAAAATACTACCAGCAAGAGGTATAAATGGCTTTGATGGCTACAGTTTCTCACCATTCCACGGGACCATAAGCCCCACTCTTGAAAGCACGCTTCTTTTTCTTCCCATTTAATTGGATGCAGGCGCCCATGGTGAAAGAAATCAGAATCTGTGCCTACTTTTTGGCATGAAAAATGCAGGAGACTAGGAAGCATATAAATGTATTCTTTGCTGATTCTACCCCATTTTGTACAAACATGTTTGCCCCTTTCCAATTTTCCTGTGTACTAAAGCTCCACCTTCAGGACACAAGTTCACATTTGAAAAGTGTGGGAAACACGAACAACAAAAATAAATATTTAAGCATGTGGATTCTGTCTTTGATGGCTTTCTCCTGGACGCTGGCGTCTGGCCAAGGGGGCAAGTCCCATTGGCAACAAAGCTTTCCTCTCCAACTGATGGAGCCCATCCTGGTGGGCGTCGTCACTCGTGGCACATTCGGAACTCCTTGTAACACAACTGGCTGAAACCCAGAGAAAAAGAAGATGGTGCAGATTTATCCTCCAGACAGAGGCCTGCTACCACGGAAACAGGCAGTTCAGACTGATTCCGAGCAGTTTTATTTGTAGCATTCAGTAGATGGGAAAGTCTTCATAATGAGAAAATATCAACTCCCTCAGGCATCTAAGGCAATCTGGGTTAACCAGACCATCCACAATCAGACTCATTTCTGCTGGACAGGACTTTATAGATTCAGTGGTTTCCTGCTGAGGCTCAGGACATTAAGAGCTGCTCGGTAGGCGATTGGTCACAGTCACAAGATGGCTATCACTGGTGTTTTCAGTTTTCTTTCTGACTTAAAAAAAATTATCTGACAGTGATCTGTAGGGATGACTGGGCTGGCAGAGATCAAAAGCAACTAAGATACTAGTTCTAGTGGTCAACGAATTCTCTGCCTTGTACAAGGAGCTACATCCCCTTGGCAGCATTTGGGAAATGCCCAGTGGGTCGAATAGTACCAGTGTTGTCCTTCTAGGACTTAAAACAGGCCACTTCCTTCTCCACAGCTTTGCTCAAATCTATGTGGTCTTCCACATCCAGGCCCTTATCAAAGCTCCCAGCCCCTTTTGGTGACTGGCAGGAAAAAGAAATGAGCCCGCCTCCTTTCCCCGTCTGCTGATGAGTAGATGGTTGAAAGCAGATAAGATGAAGGGCCATTTAATAAGTTTGAATTGACGCTGAGAGAGATGAGTTGAATGCAACTCAATCACCATGAAAAGTCAGTCAAATGCAGCACAGTTAAGATGTGACTGAAGGAACACAATGCTTGTCTTCTTGCCCACCCAACATGGCCCCAGGCAAGTGTTGAGCATTCTTATGCTTGGCGACACTGCCCCGTGCCTTTGGTTAAAGTGATGGAATTCTGGTTGACCCCAAACATTACTGTTGTCCTCTTTCCTGTGTCATGGCTTGCTTAATAGTTCATGGTCATTTACCAGCAGAGTTGCAATGGTAGATGGGAGAATGGGTTGGAGGTACAAATAAACAATTCTTTACTCAAGGTCCAATGACTTCCTTTCAGCTAAATACCAGCCTTCAGTCAGCTTTAGGGACAAATGAGCTATTTCCTATAGAGAGGGTGTAAAATGTTGTTGGTTTTTAAGAGACGCCATCATGGCACCCTAGTAACTCATTTCTCAGGTAATGCACTCAGTGTCATGAAGTTTCTCTCAAGCCCTTTCTCCAAACATTCACAAAAATTATCAGTGTAACCACTGAGTCTGAGACCCTTACTGGTTGAAAGCAAAATGTGGCAAATCATCAGCCGTCCCAGTGTTTTCCCAGACCACCTGAGTGAAGTACGCAAAATACTGGTGAATTGTTTCTTCAGATTTGCGGAAACTGTGTAACGTGCTGAGCAATCTCCCGGTCACCAGCTTTTGTCTGATTTTCACAAGATTTCAGTCTGTCCCTGCTCGCATTTTCCTTGCAGTTCTTTTGAAATACGGAGCCGAAAGGGCATCAAGGACTGGACACAAAATGCTGATCCCCTTTTAGTACGGTGTATTTTCCTGCGTCTCTGTTCTGCCATCACAGCTCTGAGGCTCCCCGCTAACATGATCCTAGGCCCCGAATCCTTTGATAACTGGCAGCTTGGCATAAACCCATTCAAAGAGAAGAGCTGCCAGAAACCAGGCCCTCATATTAATAATAACTCAAACTCTTGAAATGAATAGCAGACGATAAGATAAACACACAGATAACTTCACAGTCACTCATACTTCCATTTCCTTGAGATTCTGACAGAGGGAGACGCTCTGAGCTGACAATAAAGTTTTTCTGGACTGGGAAGTGAGGGGCCTGCCGCTCACCACCGAGCTGGCTTCCCTTCGGATTCTTACACCCTTGCTGTTCCCTAGAAAATGCTTCCACCAAGGTGGGCAAGAAGCAACTGGCATTGGCTTTGTGCTTGGATCATTGCTGTTGGGAAGTTCAGCATGGTCTCCATGGTCAGAACATTCCCACTTGTCACCCATCCTGAGGAAGGCACTGTGAGTACAGGAGTCCAAACAGCATCTCCCGGACGCCAGCAGCCTCGTGCACAGAATCCCAAGTTCAAATCCCATGGGTGGGAGACTGAGCATTCACCTTGC